TAACCGATTTTCCTGAAATTCCACTCATTTCGAAATTATCCAGGCAGACCAAGAATAGGAAAGGATTGATGACGAGTAGGTAGAGATAAGAGCGTATTGATATGATATTCATAAAGCAATTATTATAAGGGCTAATTATTATTACTGAAAACAAAACAAATAGGGAATTAGCGGCATAACCTACTACTTTATAAACAGCAATCAAAGATTCAAGATACCAGAAAGTTTGATTAGAATTGGATTGTTCAAATATTTCCTAAAAGAGAAATAAGCACGGAGAAACAGCCTTTAACAAAACAAGCTGATGAATAAAAATAATATCAGCATTCACGCTATTTTCTAAATTACATGCGGTAAATGAAGAATAATTGAATAATTTTGATTAATGAAAATTACAATATCGTATATTCGTATCCTATAGTCAGCTGGAGTAGCATGTATATTCAAGTTTTTAATATATTTTTTTTATGATTTTCACCCACAAAATTCATTAGATACTGACGTCGAAATTCTGTTTTTTTTTTCATTTATAATATTTAAAATATTTTGCATTTCTTGTTGTACATACTTGGTTTCAAAATAAATTTTTAATAGTTATGTTTTGTATACAAATTTATTGGAGCCACAATTTCATTCTTGGTAAGAAATAATATTATTAGAAATTAAAAAAAAATATTCTAATATTATTAAAAAAGAAGCAAATTTTATTGGGAGGAATATTTGGCAAAACAAAATAATTCCAACAAAATTTGCTTTTTAAAAAAATATTTGAAATAAAAAACTAAAGTGATTTTAAAATTGAATTTAGCCTTGTTAAGAATGCGAATAATAAGAAAAAATTTTATTAAAATCCCCCACAATATCTATGTTGAAAATCTATCAACAACACTTCAATAAATTTTTTACAGTTATTACAGAACATTAACTATTTGGGTAAATTGATTTATGTCAAATTAGAAATCGGAAGAAATTTGGAAATAGAAAATTAATTAAAATTTTTTATTATTTATATTTAATCGAAATCGAAAAATATTTACGACTATTTACATAACGTACTATTATATTTTATGTACTTTAATACTTTTATGTACATATGTACGTATATTATATTTTATTCAAAATATTACTATTCAATATTATAGTAAATAAAGCTGGGTCAAAACATTGGTTTATAATGTAGTAATTTTATTTTCCGTTCAAGAAATGAAAATATTTAAATACTGCTGTTAAAAACAATCTACAACATTATTAAAATTAATTTTCATTCATACACCTACCTTTTTAAGAATTGCATATTTGTAAGATGAGGCAAAAAAAATAATTGAGAGAAGCGTTAATATAATGGTCCAATTCAAGGGTTAAAATGGTGTGAGTAAAGAGAAATAATTATATATTTTAACAGCCAGACCATTAAGTAACGATAAATTTTTTGAGAATTCCAGAGTGCTGAAACTGAATTCTAACTACATAGAAGCCGATTTTAAATTTTTCATCATTTCTAAAAATTAATAGTTAAGTAATATATGCAACCGGAAGTAACTGAGGAATTTTTCGGGAATTCAGATGATATAAAATGAATCTCTGCTAAGAGTTACTTTCAAATTCCTTCTGCACGTATGATAGTAAGAATAATGCGTCGTCATTTTCATTATTTAGGTTTAAACATTAACAAATATGTTGAGGTACATTTTCCAAAAAAATTTGATGAAATGGGTAGATTAAGCTTACTGAAGATTGCTATATTTTAACAGTTTATAAATATGGGTAGTTTTCTTTAAATCGGAACCTATGGAAGCTTTGAATTTAAAGTGTTGAAAAAAAATATGCTATTTTCTCATGCAAAAAATTATTTCATTGTAATTTATTTTCGCTCACGTTCTCATAATTTGCAAATTTATTCTAAAATTATTTAAATTTTCATGTTAAGAACTTAGCAATGCATATTGATAAGAACAGAATTTGAGCGTATATGAATTACACAATTATTTAAATTTTTAAATATCTCATAGACATATACATACATTATTTTCGTAGACAAATTACTCTGATATTACCGTTATAAAAATAATTCTATATTTATGATTTCACATTAAATCAATTTTTTAATAACTTAAATCAGAATGTAAACAGTGCACCGCGTTTTACTATTTATTAATGCTGGTATGTGCGGCTGTGTTGTTCAATATGTTCTTTCTATATATTATTGTATGTACTGTAATAAAGATAAGATAAATTATTTGACGATTCTATTATAGTGTGTATTATTATTTGCTTGAAGTTTTTAATATTTTTATTACTTTTGGCTGCTTGAAGTCTCATACGCGTAAATAGTATATGTTAGTGTAGATAATTGTGTCTTTGAAGAAAATAAACTTTTTATTGCTTAATCTTTATCAAGGAATAAGCAATATTCAGCTTGTTTTCATTTGTTGGCTAAAATACAAAAAAATCATAAAATATGGATCGAAAAAAGTGAACTGTTTCCTTAGATTTCATAACGTCAATTTTATGATTTTACACAATATCGCACATTTGCGAAAACAATGAAATAAGTCAAAATGTAGACTCGTAAACCTGCTATAATTACTATTACACTTTAGTGTAACAAAATAATACAGAAAATATGTTCATATACAGAACAGTTCTGTAGTAGTAGCCCTCCCCGAGCAGTCGATAGCAATTTACACTTCTCTTTAAATACTTTAAATTCCGAAAGTCGAAGTTATATTTTTGAGTTGTGTCATTATTCTTCCCAATGTGCGATATGTCTATTTTCTGTTTATTTAGAATTTTTGGTTTTTAACGCATAATTGTAACAGCTGCTTTTATTTGTAATTCCAATATTATAGCAAACAACTACTGTGAAAAATAAATTTAGATATTCTTAGCTTAAGATAAATGATTTTGGTAAGTTCTGAACGCATTATTAAAGCTAAAGGTGTTCTTAGTCCTGAAGATCCCATTTGGTTTTATAATAACTTGTAGGTTATTTTTAATTAATTTTAAAAAACTTACGTTTAGAGTCCATTTCATTTTATCCAATTATTGTACTTGTTGAAATTTGAAGTACATACTCATTCTTCTAACATGTTGGGTGAGATATTTTTTTCTTATATACTCCATTTTAAGTTGAATTTGTTTATTGAAAAAATTTTTGAAAAAAAGTGCTTATTAGTTTCACTCTGTCCGTCCGTCCGTCAGTCCGTGTGTCTGTTTACAAAACTTCTACACCTTTGAAGATAGAAAGCTGAAATTTAATACGTACATAGTTCTTTACTAGCAACTTATTTCTGTAGAACAAAATTTTTACCTATCTCCCTCCCTCTAAAAATTATACCCCCCCCCCCCCAACATTTTTGAAGAAGAATAGTTTGACAATGCCTCCAACCCAAAATTCCCACCAATCAGTGTCACGTTGTGGATGCATTTGTATCTTAACAATTACTTGTGGATTTTCTGAACCACAAATGCGAAATTTTGTCAATTAACAAAGTCATCAAGGTGAAAATGAGCCTCATCGCTCAAGATGATTTTTTTTCGAAAAATCGGTATCCACTTTTTGTCGTTCCATAACCCATTTAACGAACTTTCTTCGCCGTGCATGATCAGCAGTTTTAATAACTCTGAATTGTCAGCAGTCACGCTGTATTTTTTTTTTGGGTACTTTACCACACAAATGGCGCAAAATTCAAATCTTACGTGAGTTTTGGGACAATCTTTGTTTTTTGTCTAATTTTATTTTACCACTGAAAAGAAGTGTTTCTATTTTTGGAAATACAATTTCCTTTGAGGTAGAGGAAAAACGTAAAATTTAATTTTTAACTTTTCTTACCTCCTTTTTTTTCAAGAAATCTAAAACTAATATATTGGTTGTTTGAAGCATTCCAAAATTTTGTTTGAGAATTTTCTATTATCAGAATTGTGCGAATGTAATGGATAACAGTTCTCAATTGAATTGTTCTTTTAATGCTATTTTCTTTAGTCTACTATATTCTAATATGTTTAACTAGAGTGTGTTTGCTTTTTAAATGAATTGGTATGCTTTTTAAACACAAAAATGAAAATATGCGTAGTTAAGGCGTTTAAAAGCAAAATTATCCAACCCAAAAAATAACATTTGTAGATAAATGCAATTTAAATTTTCAATTGTATGTCACTTTTCCGACATACGAAATGAATAAGAATTGTACATCTTTACTAAATTTTGTACTAAAAATATTGTTGCGCAGATCATTTTCTCACATTTTTCTTTTAGAAAAATGATCTAACCTTGCTTTAGAAGAAAATAAAAATACTCTTAAAGCCAGGCTAGACCATTGATAACTGAAATGCCACAGTTGGACTGTTAATGATGTTAATTAATGTAGATTCTATAATAGTTTTACGAAACTACGTTCAAATCCACCATTTATTAATGGCTTAAATAATATTTTTAACTCAAAAAAAACTATAAGATTTTGAACCTAAAGCGAAAATCCATTCCAGTATTGCCAAGTTGAATATGTTTAAATTCTACAAAGTTTCTACAAAATTTTTGCGACTTTCGCATTTTATGTTTGTGAAAGTTTTCCGTCTTTTCACTATTAAGTACTTTTGGCTCCCGGAGGGTTCGACTTTCAAAGATTTTACTGTATCAGCTTTTTAACAGAAATATTTGTTACAAGTACAGATGATGGTAATTTTAAAGTTTCTGTTATATTGTTCATATGTGTATTTCAAATGTTATCTCTGTTACTAAGATTTATTACGAAACAAACGAATAGTAAAATTAACAAAAATGAAATGTAATAATAGAAGCAACAGCTAGAAAGATTTAATTTTGCTTCAATATTTTAGGAGTGCAAGAAAAAAGTAAATATATTTTTGTATGTATGTATTTTTTTACATCACAGATAACACATAAACTGTAAAATTAAAAATCAAAAAAAAAAATTGGTTTTTGTGTTAAAAACTCAAGTTTAATAAAAAATGAGTTCAGTATTATTTTTTTGTTCACAATATTCAAATCATAATGGGAAAACTAAATTTGTATTTATTTTTTTCGATATCTATTTATTTTATAAATATAGCACTGGTGAGTTTTTTATGATAATTAATTATGGAATAGTGCAAGCCTTTCAATTATCCTGTTGATTTTAATTGAAAATAAATTGTAAAACTAAAATTAATGCAAAAAATTTATAAAAGTGATGTAAAACAATATTAAAGAATTTCTCGTTTCAATTAAAATATCATTTAATTGTTCTAGGTCGTGCAAACTGATCTTATCGGTTGAGTACAATGATCGCGTCAAGTGGTAATAAAAAAATATAAAACTTGGACGATAAGTTAATTGTTTCTGATAGAAAAATAAGAATTTTTTTAAAAAGCGCTCTTCAAGTGCCTTATCTTTATTATGGGATAAAAGTGGATTTAATCGTACTTTTTTCGTATAAATTTCATGCATGCACTTAAAAAGAAAGTCGTCTATGTGAAATGAATAAAAACTTTTTCCATATTTTTTGCAAATGCGGTATATTAAGTGTTCATTTAAAGTCAATTTTTTGGATTCCAATATGTTAGAATTGTCATGTTTTTAATTTATTAAAAATGTCATTTTTGCAATAAGATCAAATGTCATGCTTAAATTAGAAAAAATCAAATAAATTTGTCATTTGAATTGTGACTAAATTTTCTAATGACTCAAAAATTACATTTTAAGAACATGTGATTTTCGCTTTGTTCCTTTCACATGCATTATTCTATGCATTATTCTATCTTATTTGGAATTAGTGCATTAGCTTCTATAGAGTGTATAGCAATGTAGCACAGCAATGATTAATAATTATAAATGTATAATACGATTAAAATAAATTTGAACTAATAATACAAAGGTCGCATAATTTGACGAAACAAATAAATACAAAATAATATTATTATTGACAAGATAATAAATCAATCAAAAATAATGTATGTACATATACATAGATTACTACAATATTGAAAAATAAAAAGAATGAAAAGAAATCGTACGATGAACTTAGAACCTTAAATTTTGCATGAGATTATAGGGTAAAATTTGAAATGTTATTAGCAAAAAGTGTTCCCAATTATTTCTTTAGAGAAAAAATTGGAAAAACAAAGAAATTAAACCAAAAAATAGACAAAAAATTAAACGTATATGCTTGCAGAATTTACAAAAATGACAAAATCTCTTTTAATTTAATGTTGTAAGCGAGGTTATGTGATGGATGCCAAGTTTTCGGTGGAACGCACGGTAGAAAAGCGTAAATAAATTATTTTTTGAGAGATGTCGGTTTGTCTGTCTGTTTATCTACTAGTCTGTGTGAACGCGTATATAACAAGTTAGACTGGACTGATTTTGATAAAATTTTAAATGTAAGTTTACTTTGGTCACGGATTGATCAACTTTTGGGATACATTAGGCCTTTTTGCGGGCCGATTTTACATTTTTGCGCATATAAAGAGAAATAATTCACCAAAAATATTTAATATTTGAATTCGGGACGTTAAAACAATGAACACATTACTTTTTTGGAAAGATCACTGTGCGGAAACCGAATTTCCGGATGGAATTTTTTGAAATTTAATATTTGAGTTCTCGTACCGAAACTAATTTGCGAATTTTTCAGGAAAATTAAAACGCATTTTCATAATTTTCTACAATACTAGACAATATACATTGCGGTCGGTTATCTGCTGACAACATCAAATTTTTTTTGTGCTATATGAGATGTTGCATATAGCACGATCGCAAAGTCATTTTTGATGTAGGCTTGTATGTTGCTTTTCTATTGCAATTTTAAATTTGTTATTAAAAATAACAGTTTTTTTATTTTAAATACATATGTAATGTATGCGCTCCGCTTGAATCCTATTAATTGAGGATAAATATTCAGTAAATATAGAAATTACTAATTAAGTTTATCAGGGTTAAAGAAATTTTTGAAAATCTCCTTTTGCACTTTTTCAAACTTTTTAAATTCCGAATGTAGATAATTCCCCTTACCGGAAGAGTATGACAAGTATGGCAAGTGATCATGCTAAAGTATAAGGATTTCTTCATAAATGTATTAAATGGTATATTGCGTTTCTTATTCTTTTAAGCATACATTTGGGTTATTTTTTTTACATTGTTCAGTAACTTCCAGGATATTTGAATTTCAAATTAGGCTATAATCTATAGTAAGTTCGTAACACTAACTTACATAATATATTTAGTTATATTAGCATACGTTATCTACATACTTCGTATTTATTTCCATATATATTTAATAAAGTATTTAAAATTTTTATTGTTATCTTCATTAATATTTAGTAATATTTCATTACAGTTATCGTTTGAATATATTACAGTTAAATTATTTTCGTACATAAGTACTTTTTTATTCCTATAAGAAAGCTCTATATATGTATAATTGCTAAGCATTATCGTTTTTAACAACCATTCGTAATATGTAAATAAAAGAAATTTACATGACTATGAAATAATTGTTCTATAAAGTATGTACATACATAATGTATAAATGTTGTACAAACTTCTTATTCTTAATAATAAAATATGAAGCATACACCATTTTAAGTTACGCCAAAAGATGCTCAATTTCTTGATAAGAAATTTGAGTTTGTCTGATCTTTTAATGTAGATTCGAATTTTTAAGCAGAGAAAGAGAAAAACAAATATGGAATTTACTGATCCAAACTGAATATTTTTTAAGTGTTATATAAAAATCGTAAATATGTCGTCACAATAAAACCCATTGTATTTGCACAAAAGTTAAACTTGTATGGAACGCGTTAAATTGAAAAGAATTTCGTCTCCATTCCATCAAAAGGGGAGAATTCGCAAATTTGCGGGAACAATGACACAAATTAAAATGAAGAGTCGCAAACTTGCTTTTATTACTATTATACTTCAATATACAAAGCTTTTCTGTAACAAAATAATATAAAAAATTTGCTCATATATACTTGTAAAATAGTTCTATACCAGTGATTCCCAAAGTGACGTATATGGACCTCAGGGGTCCATGATGACCTGCTAGGGGTTGTTAGTGTTAGAAATTTAAATCTATCAAAGAAAGTAGCAGGGAGTCTATCAAAAATTGAAAAACACGACAAGGGATTATGTATGTACATACTTTAGCCTTCAATAGTTGAAAGGAACATTATGTATGTACATACTTTAGCCTTCAATAGTAATTTATACTTGGCTATAAATCAGGGATGGGGAACCTTTTCTCTATATAAGGCGGTATGATTTGCTTCGATATTGAAAAAGCATTCGATACCGTTTTTCATAATGGATTAATTTATAAAATGTCGAAATTGAATTTTCCACCTTCCTTAATTTCCACTATTAGAAGTTTTTTAACTCAACGCAAATTTTATGTGCAAATAAATTCCACTGTATCCGAACCAATTGAATTTGAAGCTGGTGTACCGCAAGGTTCGTCTATAAGCCCCACCTTATTTTCAATTTTCGTCGCAGATATGCCCATACCAAACGGGTGCCAGATTGCAAGCTTCGCAGATGATACCACTATTTATAGCTCTGCCTTGATGGCCGAAGATATCATAACAAACTTAGAAAATGGAATTGTAACACTTCAAAACTATTTTAGTAAATGGAAAATCCAAATAAATGCAGCCAAAACCCAGGCGATATATTTTACAAGAAAACGAGCAACACGATTTCTACCACAGAGAAATGTAACTCTGGCAAATATTGAAATACCGTGGCAAAAGGATATAAAGTATCTTGGCATCACTCTGGACCAACGTTTAACATTTAAAAATCATACAAACGAAATTTTAAAAAAAGTCAACAATTTTATTAGAAGCTTGTATCCATTACTCAACAGAAAATCTGTGTTAAATATATCAAAAAAACTCTTACTGTATAAAACAATTATTTTGCCTGTGATATTATTCGGCAGCAGCTGTTGGAGTGATTGTGCCGCAAGCCATTTGAAGAAATTGCAAATTCAACAAAATAAATGTTTAAAGTTAATTTTAAATAAACCGATCTATTACAATACTCAAAGACTTCATGAAATCTGTCAAATTAACAAAATTGAAGATAAAATTATCAATAGTTTAGAAGCTTTTATCAACTCATGTGAACTATCAACCAATCCACTAATTCGAGCACTTCTGGAGTAGTGCTCTAAATTAATTAACTATGCATAGTAATCATTTATTTAAAGTCAACTAGTCAATTTTTATTTTTATTTTTTTATTTTTGAATTGCAAAGAGGTTATTATTACAAATGAATTCCTCAAAATCTTTACATTTAAAAAATTTTTTTTTTTTTACCTGTTATGAAAAAAAATTTAAGCATTCTATATAATTGTACTGTAACAATAAAAATAGAAAATTATTGTATTGTATTGGTATGTACCAAAAAGAAAAATGAAAAATAAATTTTATCTTAAATCTTAAAATCTTAAAATCTCTATATAAGGCCAAATTTTAGTCAATGCAAAGTCAATCAGGCCGCAAAGTTTAAAAAAAGTCCAAAGGTTATAAATTTTTGCTTTGTGTAGGTTGATGAAAACAAAATTATGTCAGAATATAAAAAATAACAAATAACAGTATGTACATTATTAATAAAATAATATGGTTCATTATTTCAATGACTTTTCTGTGATTGTTTGTTGCTCGATAACAATTTTATATTTGGTTCCAGCCTCGTTGTCTTCAATCTTAGTTGGTCTTCCAAAAATATCAATATGTGTTTGTTTTCAAACAATAAATAAATTTTGAACTCAAACAAATGTGTGAAAGCATTTTTTTAAAATTATTGAAAAAGTTTACTAGCGTGGCATACAATTATTCTGAAAGAAACCCGGACATAGGATTCAAATATTAATATGGGTTTGTTTTCAAACAAATATGTATGTAAATTTTGAATTCAAACGTTGTTAGAAATTTCATGGCTTTGAATTTTCCAATTTTTAGTTTTCAAATTTGAAAGTTTATGTGCACGGTTTATTTTTCTAAATGTTTGATTTGTTTTCGAAAATTTGGCAGCAAAATTTTAATTTTTAGGAAATATAAGAAATAAATTTTTTTAAGGACAAAGGCCACTAAAAAACAGTTAAAAGGCCGCATGCGGCCTTAAGGCCGCAGATTCCCCATGCCTGCTATAAATACTTTAAATTCCGGAAGTCGAAGTTATATTTTTGAGTTGGGTCGTTATTCTTCCCAATGTGCGAATTAATATAAGATTTTTAACTATCAATTTTGACTATAGAACCTTCTTGTTATTAAAACTTTTATTCAACTATTTCATAAATTGCTTCTGAAAAGTTTAAATTTTGTAGATGCTATTTTAGTTAATTAAATAATTTTGCTCTTTTACGCAAATACACTGCTCTATACATAAAAATGTATTGAAAATAGACAACAGATATTATTTAGTCATTCATGTAACTGTTATATTTTAAATTAAAAATAAAAAACAAATAATAAAATTTAGATTACGTATTTAAAAATTAGGTGAGCCAAATTTACAGGTTTGTAATAATAAAGAAATTGGCAGATAGTTATCTTTTCTTTTAAAAAGAAAAATTTTTTTTGAATGTATTCTCAGGGTGTAAACAAAAATTTATCTACTGGTATGAAATATTTTTGTGTATCTTAACTTTTGCAATATAGTAAATTTTATCTAAAATAAGTGTGTGTGATTTAATTTTGATAAATAATATTGATGAAATCTTTGTAAAAAACAAAAACAGAGCACAACGATTTGCTTTAAATTTAATTAAATTTTATTATGTAGAATTGGTTTAAAATTTATCTTTTATTCAAATAGATAAGAGTTCAAAGCTATATGTGATAAACACTGTTGAATTTATATACCTTGTTAATTTTATTAAAAATATTATACTGTTAAAACAATAATAATTGCGGTAATTGTTTTAAAAAGCTTTACATAAAAATTAACTACATTCTTTATGATAATAACGTGACTAATCATAAACGATCGTTTGTATAAGATTTCTCATCAATTTAAGTAATTGAAAAACTGTTTAGCATTAATTTTCGAAGAAGTTGACGTAATTCCAAGTTCATTTTCATACCGTTTTTTGTGCCCGCAACTGCGAAAAATGCAGTTTTAAAGTTCCAGGCTTTTGAAATAGGGAAAATCTTTTTATCTGAAAAATTCAGGGTTGTGGCACATAATATCTTGTTTAAGAATTTAATAATTAATTTAACTATAAGTATATAATATGAACTAATAAAATTCGAATACCATATGGATTTCAATAACTTCAGCTTGAAGAAATCTGTTTGTCATATTCTTAGCACTATTCCAAACAAAGTTTAAAAAGTTATTATACAGAGGGAAACGAATAAGTTCACCTCTGTCCGTCGTCCGCCCGTGGACCGATTTACAAAATTTTTACAGTCTTGAAGATAGAAAGCTGAAATTTGATATATGCGTAGATCTTCACTAAAAAATTATTTCAGTAGAAGATCATTTTTACCTATCCCCCCCCTCTCTAGAAGTTATAACCTCTCAAAATTCTAAAAATGGCATTTGTTTATCTATTTACTGTAGCGAACTATAATTATTTTTGAAATTATCCAAACGCAGAAAAGTAGTGGTTGACTTCTTCTATCGCAACATGCTATATTGAACTTTAATAAAACAAAATAACCGTTAAAATTTACGGATTTGGAACTATTAAAAAATTTTAAAATGTACACTATAAATGAAAATATTTCTGTTCATTTATGCAATAAATTAAACTGAAACAGGCATTTTCTATCGGCTTCAATTTGAATCATTTTATATTTGTATAAATAGTTAATCTTATATTTAATATGAATTCTTTTATTTATTTTATTTAGGGTTCTAAACCAGAAGATCCGACGTATAAGGTTGGTGTAGTAGAATTTAATCGTGCAAAAGGCAATGATGAGAATATAACTTTAGAAGAGAATATTGTTAATGTTGGCAATTTACTAAGAAATTATTTGTTTCCTGGAACACCTGGTGAAGATGTTGATATTGTAATTTTCCCTGAATCAGTGTTAAATACCTATAAAAATCCAGTTTTCGTACCGAATCCTGACGAAAAAAAAATTTTATGTGATAAAAAAGAAAATAATCCGGAATTATTAAATACTTTATCTTGTTGGGCTATTATTTTCCGTAAATATATAGTATTTAATTTGGTCGAAAAAACAGAATGTACTGTAGAAAGCCAAAATGAATTAAATGATGATCGACCGTGTGGTCAAGATGGAATCAATAGATATAATACAAATATAGTTTTTGACAGAAATGGTGCTATAATTGCAAGATATAGAAAGGTCAATCCATACGGAGAAACTTTAATAAATACAACTATAACACCAGATTATTCAACATTTGATACAGATTTTGGTGTTAAATTTGGAACAGCAATATGTTTTGATTTATTATTTAAAACTCCAATTCAAGAACTTGTAGAAAAATATGGTGTTACTGATATTGTATTCCCAACTTATTGGTTTTCCGAATTACCATTTTTAACAGGTAGTGAAATTAAAATATATACATTTTATTTTTAAATTTTTTCCTTAACAATCATTGCCTAGTAAAGCGTGTAATACGAAACATTATTTGCAATTTAAATTCATTATTCAAATAATTTTTTTGTTAACTAATTTTAGCTAACCAAATTCAACAAGGATGGTCATATGGAAACAATGTAAATTTCTTAGCAGCTGGTGGAAATGCTCCAGAAACTGGTACAACTGGAACAGGAATATTTTCTGGTAAATCTGGTGCACTTGTTTCAAAAATGTACAATTACGTGTCATCTGAAATGTTAATATCTGCGGTACCGAAAATGGGTCGTAAAGACGGGATTAAAATTAACCATCAAGGAAATGTATTACATGCCCCTAATATAATCCCAAATAAATTAAAAGGATTAAAAATGAAACGTGACAAGTCTGTAGATGAATTCGTTTCAAAACTAATTGAAGAAGAAGGAAATACAACCGCAGAGTTATGCTTTGAGGATATTTGCTGTGAATTTGACGTTGACGTTAAAACTTTTAGAAAACAAGATGGTTATGAATATTATTATTACAGAATGGTGAGTAAACACTGTATGTACTATAAAACTGCAGTCTTTTTTGATGATGAAAGTGATTCGCGCACAAAATTTTAAATTTAGTTTTTTATTCCAATTTTATTTTGTTATAAAATGTAAGTTGAACAAGTCTGCTACGCAGTCAATGCGATTGGTATCATACGGTCTTCATTTTATACCACTAAAGGCCTAATAATTATTATTGTTGTGCGATACTCGTATTTGCGTTAGGTTTAAATACAAAATAAAAATGCAAAAGTAAAAACTTCTTACTTACTAATTTTTTTACCCACCTATACCAGTGGGGTGTATTAGTTTTGTCACGACGTATGTTACACCAAGAAGGAAAAATTTTCCACCCCACAAAGTATGTAATATAATATTCTTGCTTAGAATAAAATTTAAAGTCTACGTCCTCCTGTTGTTGAAAGGCTCATTTGAGAACACCAGAATATATTGTATAGTGTACGTAAATCGTTATTGAAAATGAGTTCCAAGGGACATTGTACCTTCTGTACGAGGTCTCAGTAGGGATTTTGAAAAAAAATCACCAAATATGTTCTTCCAGCATTTCGTTGAATAACATAGATCTCCAAAACTTTTTTAATAGCTGTACATTGTTTTCTCTAGAATTTGCATTTATTAATTTTATTTCATTTTACATGTTTTAATTTTCAAAATCCATATTACAGGTGGCATTTTCGGGAACTCGGACTCATGGGAATGGAACAAAAACAACTAAATACAAAACCTGTGCTATCATTGCTTGTACAGATGATAAAAATTTAGAAAGCTGTGGCAAAATATTTAGTGACGAAACAAAACAGCAAAATTATTATTCTTTTAATAAAATTGTTATTGATGGAAAGTTCAGTGATTCAAAGGATGTTTTATTTACTCCAAATTCCGTTGAACAATCATTTAGACCTTTGCCGTACAGGGCATTCAATTTCACAGTGGAAGATAATGAGTATGTATTAAAATATTATCTATTTATTTATTTATGTGTGTATTTGTATAAACGATTTATAAAATAATTATCTTTGTAGTGACGGAAAATTGGTTAAAATGGAATTAAAAGCTGAAAGTGCTGATCTACTAACATTTGGTATTTACGTTCTCGATTATAAAACCTCAAATGCTAAACAAAATTTACCAAGTATATTCATTTTTAGTGTTACAATAATGATTTTATGCTTTTTAAAAGATTCAGAAATTGTTTAAAGTTTTTTTTTCAATACCTTAAATTAATTGTAATTTAGTTATTTGATTTATAAAAGTTTTTAGTTCTCAAAATATTTCCAAGATAATATTGATGAATCTTTAAAAATGAAATATAATATTTTACATACATTTCAGTATTTTACAAAAATTAGAACAAATAATGTTATGATAAGTAATAGGTAGTAAAAAGAGATGTATGTACAGATTTGTTAAATTACTTAAATAAATTTTTAAATATAAATTTTGCTGCTATTTCAAAAGAACTAAAACCTTAATAAGCATAAAATTTTAAAAATCGGAAATTAGACTATTTGTTTTATAAACAATTAAATCTTATCCGAAAAGTAATATTATATTTAAAATTTTGCTTGCAATTGAACTGATGTCCTTGATCGATCGTATTTCTGGAGAATTTATTAAAATTGAATGCTGAATGTTATGTTTATTCACTTTTAGTACATATTTTCGCTTTTGATTATAAAATTTAGAACACCCGACTAAATCTAATGAGGAACAAATAATTATATTTAATGTTCAGATTAAAATTAATCGTTCAAAGTGTTTGTTATATAATGAGAAAATTGAAAATTCGGTATATTTAGTATTATTGTTAAACAACAAAATCAAGAAATTGTTCCATTAATTTGTAAAATATTTGCCATTCACAAATTACGTCAGTTTATGTCGAATTATTGCTAATTTGTAATAATTAATTTGTTAAAAATTTAAAATAGCTATTATTCCTAAAAACTTATTATTCAAAAAATGTTTGAAACTCAGAATAGTGAATTGAATACGAATAAGAAATTTATAAAAAATATTCATGTAACAATTAAAATAATAATTAAATAATAAATTAAAACAACCTATGTTTTTATTTAAAAAAATATTCCAGTAGAAGTAGGGCCTTATTGCACCAAGAGCATTGCAATATTCCAGTATAAGTAGTCCAATTTTTGTTGCACTAAGTGTCAAAACTCTAATAATACCAATAAAATTTATTATCCTTTATTAGTAAAGGCTTAGTTGGTGAAATAGGGTTAAAAGCAAAAGCTAAATTTTTCTAATTTATTTTTTCAAAAAATAAAAGATAACATTGTTTGAGTTTTCTCTTCATACTTTCAATCATAATAGCATCATACAATCATACATGTCAATCATACTTTCTCATAATAGCATCATACATGAGGCTATTAGGTGAAACCAAATTTGAAAACTTAAAGACCAGTGGCTCTTTACCAATTTTATATTATATATAACAACATATACCTTTGGGTAGAAGATCGAAAATGGGTAAAACTTTTGTTCTGGACTGGGTAACAAATCTCAAGAGTTTCCGAGTTCCAGGGATTTTAACGAATTTTCGCGGAATTTTTACTTATCCAGGTTTTTTGGTTATAACTTCGGTGCTGAAAAAGATATGAACTTCAAACAAACAGTTTCAGAAAGGCTTAGTAAAATGGAAATGATGCTTGATTCTGTATTTTATGTACCTTCGGAATACCAAGCATTCGAACTTAAAAGAAAGTAAAATTTTTCCCTTGATTTCATTTTTTCAGTTTTTTCTAGCTAGATAATTTCGTAAGAAATTTTTTAAAACTTTGAAATTTTTTTATAGAAATTTTCCCAGCTGTTTAAACTTTAATTAAAGTCCTCACATACTTATTAAAATAATTTTTATGTTACAGAAGAGATAGTACAAAAACCATAAATATTGTGAGCCACAAATTCAATTAAAATCAAACGAGATGTTGATAAAACTAAAATTGAATTCAATTTCATATTCCTTTATTTTCCAAAAATTTTACAAATTTCTCAAACAAACACCAAATTTTTTTTTGAAATTCACCTAATTCGGAAAAAATTTATGCTTTTCATTTTTAAAATCTCATATTTCATATTTCAAATTAACTTTACTGGAATTCCTCTTTGGTTGCATCAACCGTATACCAATTTTAGTTTTTGAAAAATTTGTTGAAAATTTATTAATTTTTCATTAATAAACAAATTTATTAAGTTATTAATTTTTTATTAGTTTCATAATTTTAATACCATATCACTTGCAAACTCCATTTTGTTTAAAAAAATTAAATTTTCCTATTAAAAAAAAATTTTCTTTCTATTAGAATAAATGTCAAAATTTATATGGTATACCATTAAAAATTCTCTCTAGCTGGATAATTTTACTAACTACAGATGCTAAATGATGTGTAGACTTCGAAAATATTTTTTTGAAATTTTTAAATTGCACCCAATCTGAGAAAAATGCATTTAAAAATTTCAAACCATATAGGTACCATTTCTTATAAAAATTGGCAAAAATAAAAAAATTATCAATTTTCTTTACCAAGAAAAGTTTCGAAAAATTTTTGATTACTAGATTTTTTTTTGTTTTTCCTAATACAAAAATCTAGTTTTTTTTTTCAAAAATTTAAAATTTTTTAAATTCAATTTTTGTTTTTCAATTAAAAAGTTTGTATAAAATTTCGTTTCAATTTTGTTATTGTTGGTTACATTTCAATAAAAACGTTAAAATCGAGATTTTTTAACAAAACAACGGCTCTTAAAAATATCAAGTGTTTTTCCGAGTAATTATTGTCACCAAAAATTAATGATAGTTGATAATTACAACGCTTAAAATCCTTACTTGTAAGGGTCTTAAAATTGACATAGAAATGGTTTTTGTGCTACATCTTCTGTAACAATATTCGAGGACTTAAATCAAAGCAGCTGGGCGAAATTCTATAAAAAAAATTTCAAAGTTTTAAAAAATTTCTTACGATATTATCTAGTTAGAAAAAACTGAAAAAATAAAACAAGGGAAAAATCTGATTTTCCCTAAAGTTCGAAAACTTAGTATTCCAAACATACATAATATACAGAATCGAGCAACATGCTTATTTTAAGCCCTTTACTAAGCCTTTTTGAAACTATTTTTTTTGAAGTTCCTATCTTTTTCAGAATGGAAGTTATAATCGAAAAAGCCTGGATAAGTAAAAATATCGTGAAAATTCGTTAAAGTCCCTGAAACTCTTGAAATTTATTACCCAGTCCAGAAAAAGAGTTTTACCCATTTTTGATCTTCTACCCAATGGTATATGTTGTTGTATAACTTTCTGAATCACCCTATTTGCAAAATTCTCAAATTTATTCAAACATTCATATTTATTTTAGAATTTTCTACTGAAACAGATACATTATCATTACGTTTATCTACCCATATAACGTATTTTGATAATAATTGTGATTCACTTAGCATTTCTTCGAAAAGTTCACGACACTAAAAAGTATTGTGGTAGTATAATTTAAAATCATTGTTACAAAAGATATAGAAGCTCATATTCGACTTGATTTTTGCTTTTCTTACCAAACTTGAAACAATTTGAAGACTGTCTTTCTATTCTTGGTTTTAATCTGAAAACCACTAACAAAACGCTGAAATTGTTCTATTTTTCTATTAATTAAAATTAATATGTTTTATATTATTTAAATCGGAGTTTTTATTTATTATTAAATGAATATTTTAAAAAATTCCAATATTTTACTTAAATTTTGTTAAGAACCAAGAGCCTATTAATTTGATTTTTAGCTGCATATTTTGTTATCAACAACATGCTTCTGCTAAACTTTTGTTGCAATACTATGTAATAATAATTTTCAAACAATAATCTTGAAACTAAGAAAAGAGTTTAATTTATTTAATAATTTTTAAAATGATTGAATTATTTGATATTCTTTCACAATTTTAAAATAAAATTCTCATTGCTTATACCTTTCTTTTACATTATAGTAATTTTCATATAAAAAATTTAAAATTTTAAGAAATCAAAATTTTTTTTATTGTAATTTGCATTCATTTATTATTTAAATTCTCTCAAAAATATTTTAAAGAGAAAATTTCCCTTTCAAACGGTTGCCTATCAAATAATACGAAATACAATACAAAAATACAAAACAAAACCAAAATAAATGAAGTACAAAAAAAAAAAGAAAACAAATATAAAAGAAAAAATAAAATAAGAAAACAACACACCTGTTCCATTTATAATGTGTGTACACAACAGAAACATGCCTGGAAATTTTCAACTGTTGCTTTTGGCACATTGAAATTATTTTCCTTTTTTCGGTTTTTTTTTTTTTTTTTGTTTTTTTTTTAGCAAATTGAAAATTTTTTAACAAACAAATTGAAAATCTATCTGGTGCTTTCCCAAGAAAAAATTTCCCTTTTAGCATTCATTCGTAATTTTAAGAAAACGTAAAAAAAAAATCTTAAGCTATATGCAAAATTTGCATCATTCAAAAAGGGGAAAATTTTCACTTTTCTATGACATGCGTAATATTACAAAAATGAAACAAGGGAAATTTTCATTAATGACATCATAACTAACAGTGAAGTTTAGCATTATTATACAATTTAATGGTATGGTTATACCATAATAAACTAAATAGTTAACTAAATTATTATTTTTTATTAATAATGCTAATAATTAAAATTTATATAAAGGCTATTTTAAATGGTTTACGATTCATAAGTCTATATGATATTTTTGAATAACACTATAATTGAAAATTAAATTTCCTTTTAAAATTAGCTCCATTTTTTAACTTTTTGATAGCGTTGTGAATATTAGGTCTATGGCATAAATTTTAAAAAAATCGCATCATTTCTAAATTTACGCATTTAACGCTATTTTTTTGAATCCATATGTCCTTAATGCCGTAATACTGTAATCTTAGTGCATATCTTGTGATGCAGTAGTGGAATCCGTTGACAATATCCGTAACTCTGGAATAAAATGATTGACGAAATTTCACAATAAATTTGGACGATTTTTTCGAATTTTTACTTTCTTCATTATGATTCACCAGAGAATATTGATTATAGGAATACAAAAACAGTTGGAACAGAATGATAATTTGTTTTTTTGTTTTGTCTTTCGTAAAATATAAATTTAATTATATAAACAAAAAATACAATTAAATTATATAAGGTGAGCTTTAATTAATCAACGAAATTATCGTAACTTTTTAATAATTTAATTGCGATTTATTACTTTCTAATATACAATAAAAAATTGACAAAAATTTTTACTTCTAATTTAGATTAATTGCAAACTTTATACCATTTCAATCGATTAGTTATACAGTTAGAGTTATACTTATTATTATAGAGTATATTTTTCAATTCATATGGAAATAAATTCAAAATGGTTTTTAAATAAAGTATTGATAAAATAAAGTGTCATGTAATAAATATATTTTAAGAATCGTAATTAATAGCCTTAATCAGTTTGGTTGTATTTGCTATAGGGCAATTTAATACGAGTAATTCAATAAAAGATTAATTTTTTAATACGAATTATGTCATAATTTGGTTAACATTTATGCACTCTTTAATATTAAATAAAAACAATATTAGAAATTCACTGAAACCCTAAACATTTTTAATTCATTTTTGAAAATTTCTTATAATCTGTAAAGATTTTCACATATGAATTGCGTTGCGAATCATAATTATGTTAAAATTTAAATTTCATAAGGATATTTTGTTCTTGGAATTTTATTAAAAAATAAATAAATTAATTCTGTTTTACAGGTATTCTAAATAATATACAGGTATAATTTGATTAAATATAAATATTTATATAGAAAAATTCAAATTGTATGTATAAATACGACTAATAAAAATAAAAACTATAATTTCATGTATGAAACTAATAAAAACAAAAAAAGAAGAAAAAATAATTTCTGCAAAAAACTTTTTGCAGAAATTCTGCATTCAGGTATGAAGTTTTTGTTTGGTATAGCCTTAAGAAAATTCTTTTGGTTTCTCTATATCTATTTGTATGTATGTGCACCTATATAATATATAAAAAAAAATTTCCCAATATATAAATATTTGTGTGTACAATAAAAGTAATGGAAATTAACAAAAAATAAAAAAAAACAAGTAACAAACTACAAAAAAAAATAAAAACCAAAACACAAGAGAAAAAAAATAAAAATCCAAAATACAAGGAGAAAATTAATTTGTTCTATTGAATAAGGAAAAAATCCAGTAGGCTCTCAGCCTCCGAGCGGATAACATTTTCCTTTTGAAATACCAACGGTTTTTGAAAAATTCTTTTCGTCTATAATTTTTCCTTCTAATTAAAAAAAAAAATAAATTTTTTTTGATTTTTGTTTTTTTTTTCTGTTTGGTTGGGTTTGTTATTTGTGAACTTTGAAAAAAAATTTTTTTTCGGGAATTTTTTTTTATTTTTTAACTCTTAGTTCCTGGTTTAAAGAAAAAAAAAATAAAACGAAAAATTGACAAAAGGATAATTATAAAAAAAAAAAAATAATTTTGCGAATATTTTTTTTTGTCTTTTTTTTTGGAATACTTTAAGAAAATATTTTCAATTTCTTTGATTTTCATTTTTATTGTTCCTGATTTTTTTTTTTCTCTTATTGTGTTCTTATATTGTGTGTGCACAAAATTAATAAATGAAAAAAATAAAAATCAATTTGAATATTTTTAATAAACGCAAAATTACAAAAGAAAATATATATATAAAAAATAAATATGTACATAATTATGTACATATACACATATACATTATATATTTACTTAAATTTATGCAAAATGGTGTTTAATTATTTTAATTAAAAAAATATATATAAAAATATGAAAATAATGAAAATTGATTTTTAATATAAAATTAAAAAAAAAATGATTTTATTGAATAATTTTTAATTTATATTGCAAACTAAAAAGAGAAAATGAAAATTTGGGTAAATTACAAAAGAAAAGAAAATTATAATAATTAAAATTGAAAAATTCATAAGAATAAAGAAAAAATATTTTCAAAATTAAAATGTAAGTAATAAAAATCACAAATATTTCTGTATGTACATAACAATGTATAAAACATAAAGAGAAGAACGTAATAATGGAAAATTATTAAATAAAAATTAATTTACACCAAAAAAAATATTAATTATCATATAAAAATTAATTAAATTGAAATTAATAAAATTTTAAAAAAAAATTCAGAAATTTCTTAAGGAAAAAAATTTATAATTTTTATAAAATAATGGTGAAAATTTCGTGAAAGTTAAATGCCCCACTATACCGTTATATATTTTGAGTGAAAGAGAGATAAATTTTTTTTTTTTTGAAATTAAATATTTTTAAATTTTAAATGGCATAAAAATAAGCATATTTAATTTGTATATGCGTACATGTTAAGCACAAATGTACGACGAAAAGAAAAAAATGCATTAATGGAAGCAAAAAAAAAAAATTTTAATATTTTTTATTTCCATTTTTTTTTATTGTTTTTTTAACGGTATTTATCGAAATTCAATTGTGATTCAATTTACTATTTTATACTAACATGTATAAATTTGTATATAAGGTGGAAAAAATTATTAAAATTTGTAGATTTACCGCATACATACATACATACATACATAATGTAAATAAGTGAAATTAATTTCAAAAAAAATTATAAAATAAATAAAAAAAGAAAATTTTACATGTATTAATAATATAAAAAAAAAAACCGAAAAAAGGATACCAAAACAGGAAAATATTGTAGAATTTAAAAAATTTTTTTATATTAAGGATTTATTCTAAATCCTTAATTATGTACACATTTATAAAAATGTACACATATTGTACATATATAATATAATAATTAATAGTGCGAAAACAATTATTAATTTTGATTTTTATTATGAAATTCTTTTGTTTTTATTTCAGAATCCAATTAAATTGAATATTTTAGTGTAGATAATAATATTATTAAATATTAAATTTTTTTTTATATTCAATTTTATAATGAATGTTATTTCTATATAATTACATTCATTAATACGTAATATTATGAAAATAAAATAAAATGTAGAAGAAAAGGTAAAAAAAAAAACAAAAGAATTGAGTATAAAGGACAAAAATAGCTGCTGCTACCTTGGAATACCTTGATATTTTTTTAGATAAATTTTTTATATGTTTGTTTTGTTTCATTTTGTTCGTTTTTTTGCCTGTTTTTAAATTTTATTTTAAGAAACTTTATTAATTTAATAATTTGCAAAATATTTGTTTTTTAATGGATAATTTTTTGTATTATGGGAATTTTTTTTTCGATTTTTTTGCTCTTTCGAAACAAAATAAATAAGGAAAACGAAAAGGTTTTATTAAAAAAGTAAAAAAAACAAAAAATAAATTAAAAATTAATATTTTAACCTAGTTTTTTTTTTCGCATTTTATATTTAAAAAAAAATAGTATAAATTTAAAACTGAAAAAAAAAAACAAAAGAAACAGTTAATATTTTTTTTTTTTCATTTTCCTCTCATCTTCTTTTATTCATTATTTTTTTTTTTATTTATTTTTTTTTTTATTCATATATTCACTGTACTCATATAATAACCGTACTTTTGCGCAATTTTCAAATGAATATTTAAATAACTGTACAAATAAGCAGAACAAAGTTAAAAAACAAAAAAAAAAAGGAATGAAATTTTTTTTTATACTAAAAAACAAGAGCTAACAAAGCCACATACTACAAAATAACCTATACAATATAAAATATAGAAATTGTTATATATACATACATATTATTTGTATGTATATATGTAAGTATATACAAGATGTTTTATATGTATCTTTAAAATATACATACTCATATATTTATGTATATATATACATTTTTTTTTTAGATTAATTTTTGAATGGGAATTTAATGAATTTTTATAATGACGTTTTAAAGTAAAAAAAAAAAACAAAAAATGTCAAATCAAGAAAATTAACTATGTGTATACAATTTTAAATATGGCTATATAGTTAAGTGAAAATTATCCCTATATATGTATGGAGGTATAGGATCACAACTCGGACTAATCTTATATATGTACTTAGAAATATGTACATTTATATGGCAGGAAAAAAAAGGAAATAATAAAAATTAATTAAAATATCACACATAAAATAATATATATATACATATACATGTGTACATATAATGTATACAATTGACTCTGGATAAGGGAGACACATCTATCATTGAAATATTGTTTTTCCGACTTTTTATTCGCATTTTCTATAACAGGAGTAAAATTTTTTTGTATATAATTAATAAGTGAAATGTAGTGAAATTTGTGGACACAACTCTTAAATATTGAAATAAATAGTGTCCATTCATAAGCATGACATTTTCATAAATTCGTCTTATTAAAATAAAATTTGCCGTTTGCATATCAGAAATTAATTTTCATCTAATTGGGCTTCTAATAAAGATTTTTACAGTTGTTTTATATACTGTTTATGGTGAGTGTAGATAGAAATTATGCGTCTTCCCGATTTTGAAACCAAACATTTCAATAGCAATAATTTAAGCCAAATCACCAAATAGAACTCGAGGAATTTTTAAAGTATAGGTGTGTTTTGAACACATTGAAACTTGCTCCTTATATTGAATTGGTGATTTTTTGGGGAAATTATTAACTTTGATGTGCATTTTGTACGACTATATCACTTATTTAAAAATATTATGAAATTTCAATATTGTTTAATAAGCTAAATTCATGTTTGATAAATAATTTTATTAGAATGGAGTACAAACGATATGTTAATGTTATAAAGCACAAATAGAAACATAAGTTAATTGGTTAATGATAAAGATTACAGATAATTCCTTCAAAATATAAATATGACATAAAAATCTCATTTAATTTAAATTGCGATTTTATTAAAATCCGACTGTATACTAATGTGCCTATACCTGTATTTTCATATTATCTATATATATCTATGTATGTATTTAATAAGTTAACAAAAATTTTGTGATATTTTCATAAACAAGAGAAAAAAAACATTAATTTTTTTATACTGTTTTGGTTTTTGAATTACTTAAATTGAATTGATTGACTTTTAACTATAATAATTTTAAAATATACTTTAATTAATATAAAGAAATATATAGTATAAATTTTTTTAAAATAAATTATTTTTTTTATATATACTTGTATTATACATATAAATTTATGTATACTTATGGGTACATAATATTTATATTATGTGCGAGATATGGTATACATACCTTATACAGATTTACATATATAAATTTGTTTAGGTTATGTATATCAATATACACAGGGTCATATATGTTCATGACGTACATATGTATATATTGTTATATTATAAATGATGAGAATGTGTTCTCACATATTTTAAATAACTGGTATAATGAACGTAATTAATATATCAATATTTATGTATACTCGTATCGGTATATACATATACAGTCAGTCCCAATATTATTTTGACAAAATGTAAATTTTTATTTTAACTTGTAATTTAAAATGAAAATTTTTTATTGAAGTATTTCTATATGTCAATTATCGTGAGCTATCTAAATCAGAATTCGTAATTTCCAGTAAACCAACTTCAAATTTTTAGTTTGTTGAATATTTAGTTGTCCTTAGCTGTTATCTGTTGATATTTTAGTCTGAGGTTAATACTATTACGAGTAATTTTATTTTCTGTTTGGGTTCTGGGTTAGGCCATTTTTTCACTGGGAAAAGTTAAATTTTAGGGTTAGGCAAAAAAACAAATAACAGAATATAGGAAATGACTCTTTTGTCATTAAAATTAAATTTGGGACCTAATTTTAATATTTCTAACAAAAAAGAAAAACTTTTGGGAGTGAGAGTTAGGCCACTTTGTTTCCGGGCCCCCATTTAAGAGGTGAACAATATTAGTCAAACAACTTCAGGCAAAGAAATCGAATTGCTATTTGAGCTTTCTTATATTGTCACCGTAAAATTTTAAGGAGAATAGGAACGTTTAATATTCTGGTGTGAATAGTCACCATTGGAATGGTCAGTTCTTCAATTCTGTAAAAAATATATAAATTATTAAAAAATATTTACTCATTATCGTGTATCCAAAGCGAAACCATGAAAAATGGGTATAAATTTTAGAACTAAAATCGATAGTTCACAAGTTGAAAAAATTTTCTTTTATCTTAATAATATTATTGAAGCTGACTGACTGTACCTATACATACAAATTTTAGGTTAATTTATTAGAAGTTTATATCAAGGTTTATGAATTTTTTAAAATTTAATTTTACAATTTCTGATTTTTTTTACAATTTTTTTTGTTTTTTTCGTTTATAACAATATTTTCCTTTATTTTTCAAACTAATTTATTTACCTTT